AACCAGCATTTCCTCAACCAGAACCAGAACCACATGGCCCAGCAGCAGGTCCAGTCCAAGGACATGCCTCCACGATTCAGCAAGAAAGGACAGCTCAATGCTGACGAGGTAAGTAGCTCCTAGCGTGGCTGAGTTAATTGTTGCCAAAAACTTTTTTTTTCTTTTTTTTTTTTTGTGTGTGTGTGTGTGTGTGTCATACTAAAAAAAGATTTAACAAAGTTAAAACATCAAATGTTTTACACTAGCCTGTAAAGGCTGCATTCTGCTCTCCTAATGTCCTGTGTTGAGTCGTGATGCCCAGTGATTATAAAAAGACGCGTTATTCTGAGGAATCCAACCTGCTGCTAGTCTTTCTTTTACTATCGTCTCTGTCTTTAATCTCCTCTTTTCTGTCCCTCCTCCACTTCTCTTTTTATTCAAACTGGCAACAGGGTCCGCTGACTGCGATTATGAGATATGAGGGCATTTTATTTATAGCTGATATGGAACTTGAGTTGTTTTTGTTACATACAAAGACTAATACTATTGTCTCCTTTGTTCATGATGCCTCATGGCCCCACAGATCAGCCTCAGGCCTGCTCAGTCATTCCTCCTCAATAAGAACCAGGTGCCCAAGCTCCAGCCCCAGATCCCGACCATGATGCCTCCCAGTGCCCAACCCCCACGCACTCAGACTCCCCCTCTGGGACAGGTATGAGAGTGTCTACTTGTTTGTCAGTGAGTTAATCTAAGAGAACCGTTGGTGAGTTTTTAAAAACAACAAAAAAACTGGTTGTTGTACAACTAGCATATAAACAGCAAACATTAAACCACAGATTGAAGTGTCGTTTTGTTGGAGAGCTGTATCTGTGAACTATCTGTGAACTCAAATACATGACTTTTGCCCTTAGCCTCCACAGCTTGGCCTGAAGACCAACCCTCCACCTATTCAAGAGAAACCGCAGAAGACTAACAAGAAACCACCTCCTGCAAAGGAGGAGCTTCTTAAAATGACGGTAGGGAGAACAGTTTCTGTCACATAAGCATATGTTCCAGGCTGAAGCAACACTTGACAATCATGTAAAATCCTCATGAATAAAAAGCTTTACCACAGCATACTCACAATTGAATTAAAACTGCAGGTCAGGTTTCCAAAAGGTTTGCTACACTGTCTGATGTAACCATAACAGCAAAGCAGTTCACTTATAAATATTGGTAAGCCTCCCTGTTTAGCAGTTTCTATTCATCACTGGTGAAATATAGAAGTGGCAAAATATATTTATGTAAGCACTTTGGTGTACTGCAAGATAATCTGCTTGCTACTAAAAAGATGAATTAGACTTGAAGCATTTTACCTCCTCAGCATGTGCATACAGAGTAGATGGGACCACAAGACCTACGGATGGGTTTGTTATGCTGGGTGATCAGAGTGACCACTGTTCAGTTCTGTTCATGTGCTTGCCTACTCCGTTTAGGAGGCAATCATGACTGAGTACTTGAACACTAAGAACCTGACTGAGGCTGTGAGTGGCGTGAGAGAGATGAAGGCTCCAAAGCATTTCCTGCCAGAGATGCTCAGTAAGATCATTGTGTGCTCCCTGGATTGTCCAGATGAGGACAAAGAGCACGCCAGCACTCTGATTCACACACTCCGCACTGAGGGCCTCATCACTGGGGAGAACTTCATGCAGGTACGTCTGCTGTTCATTCAGTATTGGAGAGTATTTCTGTGTTTGAGCACAAACACATTCAGTACGTTTAAAGACAAGAAAAGCTCTTTTATTATTTCACAATTATTTCACTGAGATTGATGTAATTATTTGTGACTAATTACATCGTATGTCACTGAACCCAGAAGGGCATAGTGTTATTCTTCATGCTTGAGGTATTTTCTTTCTCCCCTCACTCATTTTAGGCTTTCCTTAACGTCCTGGACCAGTGCCCTAAGATCGAGGTGGACGTGCCCCTGGTGAAGTCTTATCTGGCCCAGTTTGCGGCTCGGGCTATCATCGCAGAGCTGGTGAGCGTGGCGGAGCTGGCTCACCCCCTGGAGAACGGAACCCACTTCCCACTCTTCTTGCTCTGCTTGCAGCAGACGGCCAAGCTCAAGGATCGTGAGTGGCTCACTGACCTCTTCCAGCAGAGCAAGGTCAATATGCAGAAGATGCTCCCAGGTAGGCCCCCAATCCATCTACCAATTCAGGATTTTTTTTTTTTTTATTTATTTATTTTTTTTAAATAAATATAGCAACAATTCACAACAGATAAATCTTAAAATCACCAATAAGCACTTGGCAATAGTGGCAAAGGGAGGGGGAGAAGCAAGTGTGGAATAAAATCTCAGATGGAAGAGAGCACAGGGTTACTCTACCCCCTCCTGGAATAAATGCCAAAGTGATTTCTCCCCTCATCTATTAGGCTTCTTTTATTCTGTCATTTTATATTCTCAGCATTTCCCTCCAGTTTACAGTATAACGATCACCAGAATAGTTGTACAGTACCCAGTGAATATTCAAGTTTGCCCCATCCCCCATCGATGATGTCTGAATGAGACAACATTACATTCATATTTAAATGAAGTTACAGTAACATACAGTCCTGCCAAATGTCAGTTTGTCAGAAGAGATTTGTAGGTAATGATGCTTCTTGTGCATGTTATGTTGGAGTATTGTGAGTAAATGAAATCTTAATAGGATGGAGCTAAATATTTGTTCCTGACCATATTAAAATGATCACTTTCTGAAACCTTAATTACCTGGGTCATATCAGGAGCATGTTCTGTCTGGCTAATACATGACTTGCTCTCCCACTTGGTAGAAATTGATCAGAACAAGGACCGCATGCTGGAGATCCTGGAGGGGAAAGGCCTGAGCTTCCTGTTCCCTCTGCTGAAGCTGGAGAAGGAGCTGCTGAAGCAGATAAAGGCAGACCCCTCTCCACAGTCCATCTACAAGTGGATTAAAGACAACATTTCACCCAAGTTTCATACTGATAAAGGCTTTGTCAACATCCTCATGACCAGGTAAATTTGCAGATGGACTTGACTGAATCTGTTTTCCCAGGATAGTCTTAGTCTGTTTTTATAACAGTTATAAATTGCATGCAAGTGTTGGTTTGTCTGCGATGTCACTAAATATATAGCCACAAGGTCACACATTTAAGGCATTGTAACAAAGTTCTTTAGTTTAACTAACATTTGTCCTCTGATCTTTTTTCAGTTTCCTCCAGTACATCTCCCAAGAGTTGTGTGAGGCAGAGGGTGATGAGCAACTGGCAGCGCCCTCTAAAGAGATGCTGGAACAAGAGAAACAGCTGCTGCTGGCCTTCAAGCCCGTCATGCAGAAGTTCCTGCACGACCATACCGAGCTGCAGGTCAGCGCCCTCTACGCCTTGCAGGTGCACTGCAATGCCCGGGGGTTCCCTAAAGGTAAAGCAAATCTTGTACAGTTTAGCTAGTAAGCAACAAGAAATGGGGAGTGCAGGGATGCGAAGTCTTGATTACTCTGATTAGTTACAAAAGTGAAATATAAATAATGCAGGAGTTGTGAATTAAGTGCATATTAATTCATTTGTTTATTGTTTTTAACAAGGCATGCTACTGCGCTACTTTGTCAACTTCTACGACATGGAGATCATTGAAGAGGAAGCGTTCCTTGCATGGAAAGAAGACATTACCCAAGAATTCCCTGGAAAAGGAAAAGCTTTATTCCAGGTACAGTAGTGCAGTTTAGTTTGTTAGAAAGAAAACACAAGAGTTGACAAGTTTTATATTCTCTCTCTCTCTCTCTCTCTCTCTCTCTCTC